TGATGTTAAAATATTTAATGTCATTACCTCTATTGGTGACTGTGATTAAATGCAGAATGACGTGTATATATTTTCTAAATGGTGCTCAACAAATTGCCTTAGTACTAATATTGCAATACGGAAAATAATTAGTTTCAGTCATACAAAATCAATTATTAAATTTTGTTACAAGATATCTAATCTGAATATATAACGCACTACTAATTATGCAGAAATCGTGAGGTGCGGTCTGGTGTGATGTAGGTTTCAGAAAAACTAACGTACTACTTTAATCTGTTATCTCTTATATCTTTTTGATAGTCATTTATCCCTTTCTGTACATATTCGTACGGTATTTTTGAAAAGTTTTAAGATTGGTTTTATCCATAGGACAACTGGTGATTTTAGAAATGTTAAAGTTGTTAAAAGCCTATTTTTCCTTTTGTACAAAGTTTTATAGATTATGTCTGAATTGTCTGGTACCTTCAACATGCTTATATTTCTGATGACTTCAATAAAATTTTAAAAATTGTCATTAAACATATGATTCATATCAGTGGTGACGGCGATTATTATTGCTAATCATTTGACTACTGGCTCCATCATATCTGTGTTACCTCCTGAAACTATTCGCAGTTATCTTTGTTTGGAAACTGTCCATAATCACATCGATTGTCTGGAATTACCATGTTGGATTGATATCGCATACCTAATAACAGAACACGAACAAAAGTAAGTCCATTTGCCCTTGCATAGAACAACTTGTGGAATGAGGTCTTCTTTCTTATATTTGTTGTCGGTAATGATTTCACTTAATAATTTTATTGATATTCATAACATCCATAATATTAGGATTCTGAAGAGCCAGGTATTTGATATTCAGAAAAAATAAGTTAATATGGTTATATTTATAATATATTGTTTTCTATGTTCTATTTATAATTCTAAGTTGATATATTTATATTTATATTACATTGTTTTGTATTACTAGTTAGGCATTTGTTTGTCATTGTAATTAAAATAAATAAGGGCTGGATCCTCGATCTTTAAAAAAAGACGACTTCACAGAAATCGCTCAGACACATTGAAGATGGCGAACTGCCGAAACGCATGTGATAGACCTCCCGCTGTTTACGTACTTGAATAATCAAACTATTGTTTGGAGTATTGTAATACTATAATACGTACTCAAAATTATGCTAAATATTGTTGAAAAATGAAAACCATGGCGAGTGTTTATGTAGAAAAGTACCCAAAAATTTATATCGTAGTACACACACACATACGTGTTGGCGCAATTTCTACGTTATACAAACCAAAAAGAAAACTACATTTTTTATTAGATAAATGTGAAATCGTGAAGAAAAGTTCTGTCTGTAACACTCGATTAGTAATGTAGCAAATCTGTTATATAATGACAATATAAAAATATTTGGCAGGAAATCCACAAAAAAACAACAATAACTTCGTGTGAAAAACACAATTAAAATTAACATTAGACGCAAATCCAAAGTTAATTGCTGCGCGCTGTGGAAAAAGCAATTACAAAGAATAACCAAGAAAGGAAAAATTTAAATATTTTCGACGATAAACCGTGAAAATGTACCTAAGCATAGTGTATAAGCAATTTAGATTAAATTTGGTACTTGGCTTACAGTTCGACATGGCTTACATTTTTTTTCAAATATAATAGACTGTAATTATGGTAACTTTAATTTCAAAAATAAATCAACCATACTGTGTTTTCAGTGTGTAGTTAATTTTAATGTAATGATGTTGTTTTTTAATATTTATTCTGTTTAGACTGTCGACCAGTGTTAGTACTTAATTAAAAACACTGTACAACTTGTACAAAAAAAATACTACGACTTTTAAAAACACAAAAATTAACATAAAACAGAATTTCAAGAAAAGAAATATGATAATACATATTTTATCAATAAATACAAGGTGTGACATAAAGACTGGAGTGGATTACTAGCGGCAGTGAAGCCTTTTTATTCCAAGCTGCCTAGGCTTGCAAGCACTCACGCGCTAACACGTAAAACAAAATGTGTTACATCACCTAGAATGAAGCATAACACTGTCCTAACCGGATTTACTTCTCAATTGACATTTAATATGAGCTTCGATGCCCACCCTGGCTCACATGTCACACTCAAACTGCTATAACGAACATCTTTATTTATTTATTGCTTTAAATTAACAATTAATTTATCACAAATGATAAAACCGTAACATTTCAATGTTACCATTCCTTAAATGGAAACTTGAAACAGAATTTTTTTAATTGCTCAACTCATTGGATCCATCTTCACTCGCGGGGTTGTTGTACTCAGTACTTATTAAACGGATAACAAATAGGCAATCAAAATATATTTGTTTTTGGATTTGTACTTTATTGAACTTCAAGCTAGTCTTCGATCTATCATGAAAAAGGAGTAAAAAATTGCCAACTTGGCTGAAAAAGAGCTCGAGGAGCTCGTAAAGACCTAACCAACGAAACGAAAAGTAAAGAATAAAAATCAAACGTTATGAAGTTCAATAAAGCTCAAATAAATGCAATAATGAACAGCCAAAAAATAATAAAACGGGAGTAAACAAATGTATCAACAAAATAAACATTATTTTACGTGTTTTATCATTGACTCAACCGTTTAAATGGCTGCGATATTTGTTCCGTGATGTTTGTATATACAGAGTGTCCCGTGAACAGACGTCAATACTTCAGGAGATTATTCTACAAGCCAAATTGGACTAAAAAGCCCCAAGTCTAATTCTCAATCGCATTCTAGATATTTCGCTTCCAGGTTATTCATCGCCCTTAATTAATTCTACTTTAAATTTGATAAGAACATAAAACCCCTAAAAATTCATTTGGTTTTTCCAAATTTCAAGTAAGATTTTCTTGGTTTTATTAATTCTGTCAGGTACCGCACTTAGAGAAAAGCTGCCCCTACTTAAGAGCTGAAAACGCATGTATTTAATTTCTCAAAGGGCAATTATCACTAATATAAAATTAATGTTTAATTACCAAAAAGTCGATTTTTTCGGTTGGAAACAGTTTAAAAATATAATACAAATTTGGAAAATTCGATAAATGAAATAAAGAAATTAATGCAAAATTATAAGCTCTTTGGTCCAAAACTGAGCTGAAGAAAAATTCAAAATAAAATAAATTAAATTTCGAAATGTCCACCTTCTTGATGATCGCGAACCTGGAATCGTTTTCTCACAGATTTTTGCAGCTCTCATACTTTTAGATTCTTTTTATGTTCAGTTGTGTACAAAAGAATCTTATTTGTTTAGACAAAATGTTCGTAAACTTGTAAAAGTTTATGCTCTAAGTAATTATGTATCTTATTTTTAAACGTACAATAAAAAGAAGGATCACATACGATTTGCATTTTCTTTTCGTTGGTGTAATCAAATAAGTACAAATAAGACTTTACTAGATGACGAGGGTGAGCTTTAAAAAACTTATTAAATCCCCGACCACCCCCACCAAGGGTTTCCAGATCTTCTGACCGTGGAAGTCCAGGCCCACTCACGGACCATCAAACTTTGATATATTCTGGATGAGAGGTAAACAAAAAAGAGGCAATGCTTTTAACCTTACCTTGGGATTTAACATACAATGTTGGTCCAAATCTATCGCAAACAAAATTAAAAAGGCTATGCCGGGATTCGAACCCAGAACCACTAGCATGGCAAATAAGAGCCGGACGCCCCACATTAGCTAAAACGTGTGGTGTTTTGTGACCATTAGTTAATTATTTGGAGATCGCGAGATGCGGTCTGGTGTGACGTAGGTTTTAGAAAAACATTATCTTTATCGTGCCAACGTTTCGATCTTATTGCGATCATCTTCAGGGCTCAAAGTGTTTGTTATCCATGTAGATGTGTCATTCTTCTGTGTCGTATCGAGAGTGCAACGGAAAACGAACACTTTGAGCTCTGAAGATGACCTCAATAAAGATCGAAACGTTGGCACGATAAAGAAAATGTTTTTCTAAAACCTACGTCACACCAGACCGCATCTCACGATCTCCAAATAATCATTAGCTAAAACTATCGGAATTGTGTCGGAAAAAATACATATAAAATCATATACAGGAGGTAAAATCGAAAACTTAAATGTTACAATTTAAATAGAAGTTTATAAACAATTAATTCAAATAATTAATAGGTCAATTAGGGCTACCAAATACATATATGGATTTATAAACAATATTTGTCTTTTTGCCCCTGTTTGTTTTAAATGGAAGTAGGATATAATTTAGACATTAATTGCTTCAACCCCTCCGCTTTAAATTACAGATAAACTTTTGTCTGACTTTTATAGTATTTTCTCTGAAAAAGTGAAAAACACGAATATTTACGATTTCATACATGGTTATATAACATAATAACTAGATTGGGTTGTTAGACTTTGAGGGTATTTTTCTTTAATTATTATTATTTTTTATAAAAAGGAAAAATTATAAATAAAAGGCACTTTTAGGCATACACAATTTACTCATAATAGTTGTTTATTTGTAGATTTATATTTAGACTTTTTTAAAATTATAATGCCTGAACATAAAATTCACAAAAACAAAGAAAAGCTGTTATCTTTGAACTGCTATGAAAAACTTAAAATATAATTAATAAAAATTAAAACTATTATCGAAAATAAGAGAATTAAATTTTTTTGCGCAACCCAAAAGGAATAAAATAAAGGAATCATGTTTTTTTTATATTCTCTGGACCAGATTATTCTTCCCAAGAAAAGTTGAAGCAGCCAACTTGGAATGCCCCCGTGTTATTCTGCCTTTCCGGACCCTTGTCTACCACGAGTTCCAAAGTTCATAGTTTCTATTATGTTCATTTTGATTTGTTTGTGACAGAGTCAACAAAATTGACTACTGTACAAAAAACTTAACATAGTTAAAAATTGTCTATTGTACTCGCTCCAGCGGTTCATATATGTAATAAAATAAATATTACCGTGTTATTAATTGAAGTCTGTACGTTTTCAGGAGTCTGTACAAACGGGACGGCCCCTTCAGTAAGCAGCATAAACAGGATTTTAAGGAACAGAGCTGCAGAGAGAGCGGCAGCGGAGTTCGCCCGTGCTGCGGGTTACGGCCTTTATCCCGCCGGCTACTCGCCCTGGCCCCTTTGGGGCGTCCCACAGCCCAACGGCTTTCCACACCCGGAACAGAGGAGCCATCAAGGTAAATAAAAGGGATTCACATCAAACGGGAGAAACAGAATATCCCCCATGGGAGCAGGTGAACCTCCGATTTTTTTCCGCTCGATTAAAGGCCGCTTCCCCAGACATTCCTTGGGTGTAGAAAGCGTGCTTTATTATATCGGACCTTTCAGACTAGCGACAAAAAGCGGACAAAGACGATTAATTTTCACTTGGGAGTCACTTCAATTAATGATGTATTAAAACCCTTACACAGACTTTCATGTCAATTGTTGAATCAGAAAAAATTAGCTGTTGAGTAAATTTGTCATTTAAAACCAAAAACATTGCTAAAAGTTTCTTTAAAACTGATACACATGATTTTTGAACCTTCTTTTTAATCCTCAATCCTTTTTAGTTAGCTAATTTCACCTAAAAACACTACGCTAGGAACAAGATAAGCTTCTGAAAAGTTAGACGAATTGTTGTATCAGATTTATTTTCAGCAATCCCCGAATATCCAGTCTCACACCTGTATTCAGACCTATTCTGGCTTTATACTTTCTTCCGTAGGAATCTCCTTTGTAATGACAAACATAAGCTGAAAGAAGCAAGAACTTTCCAACTACTAAACTACTATAAAAGCGTAGAATTTGGATAAAATTCAAAGAAGTTATGACTTTATAAGTGGGATCGAAAAAAAAATGCCCCCAGGTGATCCAGCCCAAAAAGGACTATTTTTTTCTTTCTTATTGAAATCAATATTTAAAGGCCTTAAAGGGTTCTTAATACGAATCTGTATTGATTTTTTCAAAGCGGCATATTTTTTCCCATACTTTTTCCATACTTCCCCATATAGCGTCGTTTCATTTATATAACTTTTCATGTATCTACTCTCTTTTAACACTATCCTAGACATTATTTTTTTGTTTGAAGTAAAAAGAAACGAATGTTAAATAGTTGAAGTACATGTACAACAAAGTCAGAAACCCTTATATATTTTTAAAAGACGACTAATAAGAACTTATTCAAAATATACATAAAAACAACATACAAACACAAACAACACATATATTTACAAACATAAAAACACATAAACACATAACAAACATTAAGAACCGATCACATACATCGTTTATGCCAACCAAAACACCATACTAATTAAAAACACAAAGGACCGACCACAAAGACTTACGACCATCAAAATTTCGTCCTATTGCAAAATTACCTTCAATCCCAAAACTTTTTAAATCAGTTATAAACAATTATATATCAAATAGTTCCTTACGCCTGGTCAATGCTTAGCATGGATTTGTTCCTGGTAGGTTAACCGTTACAAACTTATTAATATTTAAAGAATTTACTATCAATAATATTGTACTTGGGTACCAGGTTGATGTCATATATACTAATCTGGCAAAACCATTTGTTTCTGTTGAGCATGCAAGACTTTTGTTCAAGCTGTCTAGACACGATATTCATAGAGACTTTTTGAAAAAGGTTCAGTTCCTACCTTCAGCAGAAAAATGAACGAAAAGTTTCCCACCTTGGTCGAATATTATTTATATTGTATTTCAATGATCACTTTGATTTTAACCTATTTTCCTTAGTGTTAGCTTTTGCTGATGATGTTAAAATATTTAAAGTCGTTACCTCTATTGGTGATTGTGATATAATACAGAATAACATGTCTATTTTCAAAATGGCGCTCAACAAATGACCTTAGTAATGATATTGCAAAATGTAATATAATTTCTTAGAATGTTAAATAATAACATTGAAATACATGTACAACAAAGACAGAAACCTTTTGTTAATATTTAAAATACTTATTTTTTTCTCGGCTCCTAGGATCTTTTGGCAAGAATGAATGGCTGCTCAGACACTCGTCTAGTGTCATGTTTCAAAAAGGTCTCATTAAAATATGTCACTCCACGTCCTCCTTTCCTTCCAATAGTAATTTTAAAATTACAAAAAATTTCGTAAATATTTTGATTTTAAAAAGTATACAAGAAATTCTGTCAAATTTTTGGAAATTATTTTTCGTCTACAGTAATAAAAAATACAAATACAAAAAAAATTAAAACGTTTGTTCAGAGTCTGAAAGACTTAAATATGTACCACACTGGCTCTTTTTAAAAAAAAACTGTTACAAAATATTAATGACTGACGACCACTGTTTTAACCACTGCGTTAACTCACCTGAGGAAGGATTAAAATAAATCCGAAACGTTGTGGATTGAAAGAAAAACTGGTTGTTGTTTTTTTGAGGTGACCTATTATCCCACCTTCGAGAAGGAAAAATCATAAGTTACACTAATAAATTTTGAAATTTAAACTCTTTTTGAATTGTAAAACACTGAAAAATAGAAAGTAGAAATTATTTATTATCATTGAGATAAGTGGTGAATTACTTGGACGACCTTTATAGATTTTCATAAAGAATTTTTAAGCTAATTGAACTGACGTGTTCATGAAGATGAAGGTTAGTCGTAACGAGTCAAAGAAATTTGGGAATTTTTGATATTGATTCTTGTATTAACAATGTATAATCAATTTTCTCTTTAATGCCGAATATTAGTAATAATAATTTTATGTTAGGTATATAAAATTATAATTGAGAAAGAAATTAGAGTCGTTATGTGCAATTTTAACATGGTCGTATTTATCACCCATTGAATTATTAAATTCTAGTTTAATAAAGGCTTAACAGTTATTACGATTTTTAAAAAAGCACCCCTTCAATAATTACCCAATTTACTTGCTCAAAGCAATTAAATCCGCTACTATTAACAGTTTCCTCTAAGAATATTTTTTTAAACTGGTTTATACATAATTAAAATAACCTTTTAATTGTTTTAAAGGAAAAACTTTCCAAGTCCAATTTTCGTACTTTTGGTAACTCGATGGCGTGATCTTCTTGAGCGACCATTACATAACCGCTGCAATTGGTCGGCCCTCCTGAATATTTAAAACCCCTCTCCGGAAAGAAATGATTGGGTTATTTCTGTATAATTGGCCTACGCTGGCCCCCAACTGGGAAAATTAACGAAACGATTCACACAACTGTAGGTAACTACGAAGAAATTACTAGTTCGTTTAGAAAAAAACCAAGAGGTGATTTGGGCAAGTTTGTAGGCATAAAAGCGGTTTTTTGATTGATCGGTTTATGCTAATGAATGATCATAAAATGTTTCTTTTGGATCTGCGTATATCCACTTATTCACAGTATTCTCTACCACCTCTAAAATTTCTCTCCATTCTCGATACAGCATCAATCACAACTAATCATTTTACTCCCTCTGACAAATTTATTACACTCCTCTGCTTTCTGTTGGTCACAATGTTGCTATTTTTATATTCTCATTGACCAGTCCTTCTCTTGAAGATTAAATTCATAACCCTAAATATTTCGGTAAAATCTTCCGAGCTTTTTATTATGTATTATCATTATGAGAATATGATTCTAAATGTGTTTGTTTCTATCATTTTTCAATGGTTCTTTTCGGCTGCACTGCGTACGAGAGATGAGCCAGCAATACCTTAGGATTGTAGCCCTTGAAGATAGACAGTCGTTTATTCATAAAATTCTTGTGTAGTGACGAAGCTATGTAATAACAATAAGCTTTAGAGCATAACTGTCAGATTCATATTGTAGATTGAAACGTTTCATACTTGTGCTAACGCATCTGAATGGAATAGGGATAAAATGAAGCCAATATGTACTTCTACTTACAGTCACGATCGATCATGCTTACCTTCACCGCTCAATCGCCATTTCAAGGTTTCTGGTAGGTTAAACGGCCGCACTTTGCATGCCAGGGTTGATTTGTTTATTTAAAATTGTCGATCAAAATGCAGCACTTCTATCCGACCGAGGTTTTTTGCTTTTATGGCATTTTTCGAGCATAATGCGCTCAATTTTTATACATTAGTGATTTAACCTTACTTATGTTAGCCCAGCATAAGAAACAAGTCTTAAATATTTATGCAAAACAGAAAGCTATTATTTCTTCAATACGTGCTCACCATTCTTTGAATCAATTTGAAATTCTAGGTCAAATTTTTGTCTATAAAGATAATTGACCGATAATATTTTTATGTTCAGGAATTCGATAGATTGTGATCATTGATTCCAATAAATAACAAACACACGCTCTCCGACAGTTTGCTTTTTTCTTTATTTATATCTTATTTTTTAATTGTGTTCCAGTTATATCCTTTCAATTTTATACGTTTTGTAAATTAGTCAAGGCAAGTGTTGTAAAATATTTTTACAACACAATATTTATAAAACAGCAAGCCTACCAAAAATTACCAAAGCAGGAAATAGAACTATTATACACTATGTTTCTTAAAACGAGGACCTTTTGATAATAACTCACATGAATCCATTAAGGCAAGGAAAAAGGGCACCTTCGACTGTAAAACTGTAGTAAAATGAATATATTAATCCATATATGTTTAGTGGTCAAAATTGACCATATTAATTGTATACCATATTAATTGAACGTGTACAGGCGTTAACTCACCTGAGGAAGGATTAAAATAAATCCGAAACGTTGTGGATAAAAAGTGGTTGTGGTTTTTTTGAGATGACCTATTTTCCACCTACAAGAAGGAAAAATCATAAGTCATATTAATTATTTCAATTAAGTACTCTCTTTATCTAAGGTCTTGATCGAGATGCAAATAAACTTAATGTTAAAAAGAAGCCAAATTTGGGTCATCAGTGGGACCACAACAAAGATAATACAAATGCACCTTCCTCCAGAATGACACTAGTTCTAAGCTCAGCGTTGGGTATAAATCCAAAAATTTATTACTGGGATATTCAACAATGATTATTGTTGGTACCACTTGTATGATGGCCAAAAACGTTAGAAAAGAAGACACTTTTCACAGAAATTTGGCATTACCGTGGTAATGCATACTTCCCTAGTTTAAGTAGTTCAGAGTGCCACCAAGATGGACGAAAGAGCAATTTTAAGTACAAATGAAATAAAACCTGAATTAAGAGATAGCCTTCATAAAATCCTAATAAGGATAAAAAATAAATGAGATAGCCACAAAAATGTCTGACAAATCAAATTAAAAGAAAATAGTTATTCAGGTATCGTGAGATGCGGTCGGGTGTGATGTAGGTTTCAGAAAAGCATTTTCTATATCGTGCCAACGTTTCGATCTTTTATTAAGATCATCTTCAGGGCTCAAAGTGTTTGTCTTCTGTGTAATTGTGCCATCCTTGCGTGTCGTGTTGAGAGTGCCCGGAGGAGGAAACCTACATCACACCCGACCGCATCTCACGATATCTGAATAACTATCGATTAACGGTCACTAATCTCTACACATTAAAAGAAAATTTGGACATAATAGATTTGGAAATTTTGGAAGAATAAAAACACTGTAACTAATGGTCTTTTAAACAGGTGGACCTAAAATTGAACATTGGGTGGGGCAGGAAACAAAGGCCCAAATGTTGACATAACAATCTCTGTGCATAGGAAATACTTAAAAAGGGATTAAAAGATGAACATGTGTACATGTTCTCAGATAAGCCACAGCACTGAAAGTTTTAGACTCCCCCTTCAAATCAAAGCTGATCTGGAAATGCCTTACATATCTCTGACCTGAGATGAGCCTTTCTCTGACTCCAAGAAAATCGAAATCACGTAACTCTGACGAAGGAGGTAGGGATAAAGCCAACGTAAAGGTTGATAGACTATCAAAAACAGGCAGCAGCTCTCACACCCTTTGTACCAAAAGCGCAAATTGGCACGTCCAAAGCATACTCAAAGCGGAATTGAACAAATTAAAGGAAAAGAAATCACCACTTTGGATGAATTCACCAGGTGTAAAAAATCAAAGAAGTTCTTCAACACTGCAAGTATCTAACTGTATCAAGTCTAACTGTATATCAGCAGGAAAATATTAAAGAAAATAATATTTGTATTCACCATTACTCATTCAATTACCACCTTAAAAGTATCAAAAATTGACACAGAAACTGATCGATTCTGTTGTGAAATACCAGAGATTTCGGAACATCACTGTATTATTGTAAAGCAGCCCAGAAACTGTACATCTTCGAAAAAGCAAGAATGGGAAGAGGAAACCCGAAAGTGCTAAACTACCTCAAACATAGCGCACTTCCCGGAGAATGGAAATAAAGAAGGGAATTCCGCAATCAATTTTTAGTTCTCAGTGGAAGAAGGGAGTCTAAACTAACCAGTGACCCTGGAAAAACATTACAATAAAACATATTCAAGCATAACACTAAATTTGGTGCAACTAATTTAATATCATGCAAAAATCAATTTATGATGAAAGTATTCGATCAATTATTAATTATGTATAAATACTTGTCGGATTATGAAGAGCTGATTATACATTAAAAATGCGTGTTCGTGTTTGTGGTTTTACATTAAATAACTAGGTTTTTTCACGAAGGTGAAATCGATTATTATGTTAAATGTTTCGCCAGCAAAATGTGAAAATTAGGTCAATTTTGTCGTGTTTTTTTTTTTTTTTACTATTAAATCTCATACTTTCACTCAGATCTGTCCGACAGTTTTTTGTTTTTCCATTTCGATAGGTCACTAAAATGATGAGTATAGAGCACAGTAGAATGTCAAAATCCAAATACAAGTAAATTATCGTTTCTCTTCTGCGAATGGTTCCTTCCAAATTCTAAAAGAGATTTTTAAAAATACTAATCCTGAAATATATGAAACAGCAAGGTAATTTCTTGATAGATTTCCTCTTGAGGTCTGCGGAGTGTTGAACCTTTAGTTTGGCCGTTTCCGATCACTTCCCGCTGTTACGGTCTGTCGGATACTGCTTTTCGCCATTTTCAGTGAAACTATCAATGCCTACTCTCCTCATGAACAACCATATTATTCAGAAATTCACTAGTTTTCGTGGTCCGCTTGACCAATTAATATCTTTCAATTAATTAAGGTTTTTAGTTGAGATAAAAAAGTCAGTGTCACGAGCGAGATTCGAACCCACGATCTTCGGCTAGATACGCCACTGCTCTACCACTTGACCTATCGTGACTTCGATCCACTCGGACACTAACGTCCCATCTCAACTCCACCTTTTGAATTTTCCCCCCTTTTTTGCCATTTTTCAAATGTCGTGTAATCTATTTGATTCTCGGCGACAAATGAAATGGCCACGGAGAGCTTTAGTAAAAATATACTTCATTTAACTTATTAAATTCATAGTTTTCGTGTTCTGCTTGACCAATTAATACCTTTCAATTAATTAACGTTTTTAGTTGAGATTAAAAAAGTCAGTGTCACGAGCGGGATTTGAGATGGGAAGTTAGTGGCGTGGCCGAGTGGATCGAAGTCACGATAGCTCAAGTGGTAGAGCAGCGGCGTATCTAGCCGAAGATCGTGGGTTCGAATCCCGCTCGTGACACTGACTTTTTTATCNATTAAGGTTTTTAGTTGAGATAAAAAAGTCAATGGCACGAGCGGGATTCGAACCCACGATCTTCGGCTTGATACGCCGCTGCTCTACCACTTGAGCTCTCATGACCTCGATCCACTCGGACACCAACTTCCCATCTCAACCGCACCTTTTGAATTTTCCCTCCTTTTTGCCATTTTTCAACCTTAATTAATTGTAATATATTAATTGGTCAAGCGGACCACGAAATTAGTGAATTTAAGTTTTCGACAAATTTCAAATATTTTATCTCATGTTAGGTAGTTCGATCTCTAATGGGAGTTTCAATACTCGAGTGTGTTGTCAACTTTTTTCGGTAATGATTTGATAAAATATACCAATTAAAAACGAAAATGGCCGGCGATCACATCCGGTACAATAAAAAAATTTAATCCACCAAAGGTACGTTCATACAAAGATAACGCAGACCCAAGAAACTTTTCCCTCACGACGTTGTGAAAATAGACTTGATATAGCCACAACACTGAAGATGGCAAAAATACCAAGCTTATCTGACAGACAAACACATGGGGTAGGTAGGCATGCCAAAATTATCGGAATTGATCAAACGCTAATTTTACTTAACAACCCTGTCGAACGTTTTGACCTTTGAAATGCATAATTATATTGTATGTCAGATATTGTATCTCACAGTACATCATATCATATTTACATTAGAGTATAGATACATTTCTTTTGATACGGAAACCCTAGGTAGGAGGCATAAGTTTTCGAACTTTTCGCCGTTCCGTTACGAGATATTAAAATGTCACACCAACTGCCTGGTGATTATACGAAAAGAATTCCTCTTGCTAGCCTATTAGGCTAATAGTGGAATTACAGGGAAGTTTAATAACCGGCTTTCCCCTCGGAGAGCAAAGAGTAAGAAACGTTTTTACAAATCCACACCGCTCGACCCGCCCAGATTTCACCAAATGGTTTAAATGACAAGGCGACCACTCTTGGTGACATGACATTCCATCACGTAACGGCGACTTTTCGATGCCGGCGGCTCCGAAAGACCGGCGGATTTGACGACCGCGTATAATTTGCAGTTTGCGGCGGCAGTAAGTTCCGCCCGGGGTGAAACGGGTCCCCAATAAACCAAACTGTGCCAAAGGGATTTTGCCGGCCGGCTGTAAAATAAATAAAAAACGAAGGGCGATCGCGTTCATAAAGATATGCTGCCGGTGTAGTCAGCCTGGAGTGTACTCTAGTAGCTACACAACTCACGGCCCGAGTCTTGAGCCTACTTATAAATTTGTCGTGTAGATGAAGTGTTATGGGATTAGTCCGGCGTTATAATCCGGTTCGACGCTAACTCATGACTCAGCCGTAAATCCAAAAGCTTTGACTAAAGTCAACGTAAACTATGGACCCATTAATTCATATAGTTCCTGTACATTTTATTCTTTACGCTCCTCCATTGCAAAGTCGGTAGTATAATATTCTCCCATTTTTTATGACATTTCTCAATATTAATAAACGTTCTTCGGGTTTGGTCATATTTATAGTTCCGGTTAAAATATGCCTTCATTATTCCCACAAAACCACCTTTTTATATAAAAGCATCTATTTACCTAAGAAAATACTCTATTTTTTACTTATTATAATTAGGGACCGGATTTCTGTTATTTCATATAATTTGACCTGACTAATCCTTAAAGTTTATTTTGCATAAAAGATTGCATATTTAATTATTTTATTTGTTTATTTTATGCTGATACTTAATTACTTTCACATTAATAACCATTTAAGTTTGTTATTATTTAGCAATTAAAGTAGCAATTAAAGTATCTGATCGACTGGATTTGAATTTTACATATATACCAATATATATTTTCCAACTTCTTTTTCCAGATGGAGACGGGAGCGGTAAGGACGACGAAAGCCTCGGCAGTGGCGGAGAAGGGTCAGAACAGCCCAAATTCAGAAGGAACAGGACGACATTTTCCCCCGACCAATTGGACGAATTGGAAAAAGAGTTCGACAAAAGCCATTACCCTTGCGTTTCGACAAGGGAGAGGCTAGCCGCCAAAACGTGCCTTTCCGAAGCCAGAGTTCAGGTGAGAAAAGTCCTAATTTTTTTAGGTTTTTCACTACGCGAAGCAAAATACGTACATCGTACACAAGTTCGTGAACAGCACACGCATACAGTATTAATTATAACCAATTTAATCAAGTCGGACAAGAATATATCCGAGCTATCTTACCAAAAGTACTTTGTAGTAACAGATCAATCGGCCCAAAATTCCCACCGACCAGTTACTATACGCAATATCATTAAAACTCTTCAGGTTCAACAAAACACAAAAAATTCCGTTTGTATGGGTAAGGTCTCACTGAGGAATTAAATTCAACGAAAAAGTGTACTCTCGCTAAAATGGTAATAAATCACGATAAAGCCTCTTCATTTAAAGCCCCATTTATTGATATATATTAATGGTATGGTAATGAGGATACTAGGAAGCGGGGTTTGTGCTCTTCAAGCACTGCAGCCTTCTGGCTTTATGAACCTTCCTATTTCCTTAGTTCAGTGCAACAGATTCAATCCTTCTCCTTAGAGGTATCAGGTCATTGACTATCGCTTCTACAATTTCATTCCCTAGGTTAATTTCGTATCTAAGGTTAAATCTCCGTTGAGCTGTTGCTTCGCATTCGAAAATGATATGGGTGGCTGTTTCCTCCTCCTCATTACATAATCTACAGAAGGGATCATCGTTATATATACCCATGTTTTGTAGATATTTTCTCAGAGGCCAATGAACGGTTAGTAGTCCTACACTCCACTCAGTCTGGCCCTCTCCATTTGCAGAAGTGAGTTTGCCGGTCTTAGTGAGGGTTGTGATATATTTGAAACATATAAAAAAGAAATTAGAAAGCCTAGGTTTTTCTCTAGTTCCAGCAAGGAATTTTTTTTAATGCTACTAAGTATCATAAAGGCCATATGGTACCATAAAGAACAAATTATTAGAACCATGTGCAAAACAATCTGCAGAATCCGGGTAAATCATGGACTTGTAATGCCTATTTAAATAAAATTAATATTAAGGAATCGTTATCTTTTGAATATTGTTTGAAGAGTGAATGTTGCATTCACTGGGGAAAGGGGAAATTTTTATGCAATAAGAAAGATAAAATTTCGTTTTTAATTATGCTCTTTTAATTACCTACTTTGAATTTTATAATCAAGCAACGGCTTTACACACAAATTTGTCCATACTTCGGCAGAATAACCATACAGCTTAGAAAAACAGTTTTGAGTTTCGCGGTTGGACAAAACACCCAAAAATAGAAAAAATTAAATGTACCTCAGCAGACATATGTAAATAATATTGGAATTTACAATAATCGTGTAATTTTCGAGCAGGATCGAAAGGAACGATTTTTTTATCAATATGACAAAACGAGAGAACGTGTTAACCATTTTTTTTAATTATATTAAAATTATTACATTTTTAAATGCATTTTTTCTCCTTAAACGAACTATTTTGAGGGTAAACAAATACTAAAATTTAATTAAAATTATATTCCAAAACGAAATTGTTTAATTACTTTGTAGATGAAAAATGAAGACAGCTTATTTCAAAAAATTAGAAAAAAAATAATTTTAGTAATAGTTTCGCTTTTTAATTAGTCGGAATTTTGTTATGTCATATAATGTATACGTAAATACCTTTTCGTTTATTGCTGTTTTTAATATGCAAGTAGTATTCAACTTAAACTTAACGAACAAACAAAATAACCCACGGTATTTTGTAAGCATTTTAACAGTCGTGAGGCAGATAAATTTCATTATTTTGAGCAAGATTCGCCTTTGAAAAGGTGAACTGGATATTGAGGGAACAATTTTGTCTCATCGTGTTTATAAATTGAAGCACTTTTTCGTACTGAAAAATCAACTGAAATCGCATGCGATGGCTTTCTTTGCAGGAATCTTTATACCACTGAACCCACTATCTAAGCCAATATTAATTTCTACGGAGACAAGTGGTACTAGTTTTCAAAACTTAATGAAAACAAAAAAATATTAGTATTATTTAAGTACGTTCAATTACTTTTGACTTCTTTGGAGAATAAAAAACATTGACAAATGTTATAAAAAAATTTGCGATATATATCGTTATATTTCACTAACTCTATACAATATTTCAATTCAAAAACTGATTTGATTTCTTGTTCAGGCTACTTTGGCAGATGTTTATATCATCCTGTGAACGAAATTGGTAAAAAATGAAACACTGGAATATATATTACACTAAAAATTAGCAACAATGAAAATATTTTCCACACATTTTTCAAAAATGTTTTCCACTTTTGGCTCACTGTGCGGCGTGCTTCAAGGCTCACTGGGTCTGACTATTGATGGACCTCGAAGAAGTCCTTCGAAGGGTGTGGGCAGATTAGGCACATGCACAACCTTCCCTGGAGATCCGCATTTCAATGCTATGCAGGTGGATTCCTTTCCCAGAATCTGAGAAGCCTGGGGGTTCGTCTCGTCTTCGTGGTTCGCGTCTGAGTCGTGCGTGTGTATGGTTGTAGTTCCACTAGACCTATACAAAACTATTTGTTGTTTAACTATAATTCATTTGTTTAATCTTACTGCTTATAGATTTTACATAGCTTAACGACGTTAATTAATCACATTTGAACTGCCTATTGTGTAGGTCTGATTGATTAAAGACTTATTTTAAGTAAGAAAAACATCTCGCCATTTTTTCTTGTTACATGTTATCTAATAACTATCGCTTCTGTTTTGTTATGTCTGTTGTATAGCATGGATTGTGAGGACTTTATGTTTTAAGCTAGGATAGGCGGATAGGCACAGGAAAATCATCAATATGCTGTTAAGAAATAGTTGTTACGGCTGAGACAAGTAAAATGATTAAAATTAAAATTATCCTGAACAAAATTAAATTTAAATTAAGACCGATTTTCACACGGATATAACAACTGAAGATTACATCACTAACCATGCCTTGTTTCAGCCCAGCAATTAAACCCTCTTTTGGTCCCCTAGAAAAAAGTTAAAATTTCTGAAACCTACGTCACACCGGACCGGATCTCACGATTTCCGAATAATCAACTTAAAATTTCAGTTTGTTTCAACAATATCTTCGTACAAATTTCACCTGTTGCGTTTTTTATTATACTGTAATATACTACACTGACAGGCAAAAATTCCACCCTCTTGTAATATAACTTGTTTTGTACATATTTTTATATATTAATCAAAGTTTCACGTTCTAAAACGTTTAATGATACAGTTCAAAAAAGTTTTAAAAAAATAAATTGTTAAGGAAAATGCAAAAAATTAAAATTTCAATACCGCGTATCTCCTCCTCTTGCCTTAATTACATCTCGATGAAGCCTCGGCCAACTTTCTACCAGTCTGGAAATGTCTCTTTGCTGGAGGTTAGCCCATTCTTCACGAAGAGACATTTAAAGATCGTGGAGTGTATCAGGAAGTGATAGACATGGTCTTATTTGTCTTTTGAGGTCATCCTATAAATGTTCGATGGGGTTCAAGTCTGGAGAACGGTTTAGCCAGGCTAAGATCCTGATGTTATGCTGTTGAAGGTACGTTTGTACTATGCGAGCGATAAAGTGGTGGCGCGTGGTCGTCAAAGATCTTCCACGAACAAAAACCAACTGTGTGCAACTCTCCATTGAAATTCCCGCCCACACCATCACTGAGCTACGTCGAAAAAGTCGGCTCTGGGAAAAATTACAGGGTTCGTACTTTCATCGCCTTCTCCACACTCTTTCACTCCCATCTGTACACCGTAGAGCAAATCTACACTCAATTGTAAAAAGTACAGCAGACCAATCGTCTAAAGACCCATGGCTGTGTTCTCGAGCAAATGTGAGCCGTGCAGATCTGCGTGTTCTGGTCAATTCTGGTCCTCTTACGAGGCTGATTTAATCTTCTTCGGGCAGTGCTTTCAGAAATTTGGACACCTCAAATTTCCTGGAGCTGATGAATAGCTTGAAAAACGGTAAGATGCCGGTTTCGCGAAATTCCTAAAGTCAAAAAACTGTCATCCCTCTTACCCTAGGGAGTCCAGAACCGGACCTTCCATCGAGGTCCCATTTTCTCAAAAACTCTGAGTTTCTTAGGGAACTCGGATGGCAATACCTAATGGAACATCCAGTGCCACGCCACACGCAGCATCATCAGCACTAAGTGGCATCTTTAAGTTTAAAAATTGAAATTAAGAAAATAAAGACGAACATTAAACAGTTTATTACTTCAGAATTCAAATTTTTTTAAATTACGTAAAAAGTAAACGTTGAAAAATCCTTTATCCTTGCTTTGGATTAAGGATTAAGTATGTTTACCTCTAATTGATAGTCCCAATTTAAAACATATCATAAACAAATATTTATTGATAAAAACAATGAGACAAACTAAGGGCAGAATTTTATTTTATCGAGAGAATAAAACAATCAATTGGGTGGAATTTTTTGCCTGTCAGTGTATTAATCGTGTATATAATACAATAGGGGCGTATTTGGCACACTACTGGTTCTAATCTCGGCACAGCCCATGCATTTTTAATTAAGAATAATATAATAAAAGCGTTATGGAGAGGTTTGACCCCTCGACAGGGACCGCAACGGGTCGTCATGACAGAATTGACTTTACTTTCTTTTTTTCTTTCGTTTTCTTGAACGATATAATTATTAATTTATTTTGTTTTTATTTAATTAAGGTTTTTACTTGAGGTAAAAAAAATCAATGGCACGAGCGGGATTCGAACCCACGATCTTCGGCTTGATACGACGCTGCTCTACCTCTTGAGCTATCGTGACGTCGATCCACTCGGACACCAACTTCCCATCTCAACCCCACCTTTTGAATTTTCCCTCCTTTTTGCCATTTTTCAATCCCGCTCGTGCCATTGACTTTTTTTAACCCAACTAAAAACCTTAATTAATTGTAATATATTAATTGGTCAAGCGGACCACGAAATTAGTGAATTTAATTTGTTTTTAATATTGATCGACTGAATGTGAGTCATATAAATGTATTCGCTTTTCAACTGAAGAAGATTTATACGAGCCTCCTTAAATTCTAGTATCCTACTGGGAGACGACGGAGGACCGACATAATTATTGACATAGATTTTAAAAAATTTGTCCAAAAGATATTTCTCTCTTGAAATCCATTTAAATGGTCATCCTGGTTGAATCATTTAAGCTTTTACCGTGTCGACTTTAATTCCCCATAATTGTCAATTGTTAGTTTTTCCGGTGTGTACTAAGCGTGGTTTTGTTGAGGAAACAACGATTACAGCCATAACGATATTCGTCACGACAGAGAAGAAAAGACGGCAAAGGTAGCACGATATCATTTTCATTTCCAAGAACAAAAATTAAAAATATTTAATGAAGAATTCTATTTTAAAAGAAGAAATATAAATTGTTAATATATGTCATTTTAACAATGAAAAATAAGCCAAAAATTTATGTACAACGGCTTGACCAAACTCAAACATTATTAACAAACTTTTTTATTCACTTACAGAGCTATCTCTATAAAAATAATTTTATGAAATATAAACAATGCCATGTTTTTATTTTCAGGTTTGGTTTTCCAACCGGCGAGCAAAGTGGCGGAGGCACCAAAGGATGAACGCCCTGAAGTCGCAGCAAGGCTCATCCGGTGCGAGCGGCGAAGAACGCGCGGACTGGCGTTCCATGGGCGGCGAGCACTCGGCCTTCAAAGCGCCGGCCCAAGACGACCGGCTTTCCGAAAGCTCCGAAGAGATCAACGTGACCGACGACGAAAACAGCCGGGGCTTAGGAGGACTTCATTCGCCCAACGAGAGGGACTTGAGAGCCTCGATCGAATCCTGGAGGGAGATGGCCGGACTCCCAGGACTCAGAGCCGCAGAATCCCAGCAGCCCCTACAGTTAACTAAATATCCAAGAGATCGAGTTCCATGAAAATTACAAATTATAAACTAATTCTTTTTATAATAACTAACCATTTTATTCTTGCAATAGAAAATTACGAATGATCTCTTCATATATTACATTTCAATTATAATGGGCCTTTTTTTAAATAAATTATAATCATAATTATTATTATCAAGTATCAAATCATAACCTCTCATGCAATCTCAGAAATTATTTATCAATAAAAACGACGTAAAGTTAAATAATTTAATTACACTAAAACGTGTGATGGTTCTGGATCTGAAAATTTAAAAAAATGCCCGTTATAACATGTTCAGCCCATACCAATTTTATATATAGCTTTAAAACGAATTGTTAAACACCGTTGTCGTTTCCTAACTGCTGTCGCGTTATAGAACAAATTGATATTTAGTTTTTCATTTTGTAAATTGTTGTACATTATTTTTTCATTATCGTAATAATTGTTATGTGATATTGCATATAAATATATATATTTATTATAAAGCCTCTTGATTTCTATTGTCCGAGCCGTTTTGTTAATGATTCGAGAGAACATCAGGACCAATACAAAAAACAAAAAAACCTGTAAATACTAGTGTGGTGCTTAGGACGGCTAGAACTTACAAGATTGAAAGATATTAAATTGTGTTTTTATTTTGTATCTAGTTGATTACAAAGTCACGCCTGTAAAGCAAGTGATTATTCAAGCAAGTAGCCTATTCGAATTTTCCCTCTTTAAATTTGGTGTTCGACACTAATTGTTGTTTAATTGCAGCCTATTGTTTATATTTTCTGTAATTATAGGTAATGTGCAAATGGTAATTTATTTTTTATTGTTGCAAATAAAAAGTGAATGGTAATTTATATCGTAAACATTTGTATGTCATATCCTTTTTCCCCTTAAAACATAATAGATGTCGTGTGACCGTACATGGTTCATTCTTCTAGCTCTTTACTAAAAAAACAAGGTCAGTTTACAAAATATAAAACATAACAAAATGTTTATTTATTGTTTACATCTATAAAGGTTCAGCGTACGATAATTTCTTAAAGTTGTGCTTTTTATTAAAAAAAAAAATTACGACCTCTATCTTTTGTATTTAATTGAATGAACAATTTTTCTTGATGCCTGCAATACTGTATATTTGGAGTGTCTTTTCCTCTTGGTTTTTGGTCTACCATATTCAGTAGTTGACAGGAGTTTTCCAATGAGTACACTTCTTTTAATTAAAACCACAACCTCGACATCAAATCTCATAATTTGATATTTTTATAGTTATTAACTATGAGATTTCATCAGAACGATCTCAATAGTTGGTAGGTACCATTCTCCCTGAGTACATGCTTCTTCTGGGGCTAAAACTACGACATGAAATTTTACAAGTTTACTGTTATTCTATTAAAGCCCACTGAGAAGACACCTCTCCGTAATGGGTATCCTACCAGATCCCTTTTGCCGTTTTTTCGAAAAAGAAGAAATGGCAAGCCACTACCTCGCAGAATGTGATAGGTATGCTAGGTCTAGATTTGAAACTTTTGAAGAAGAGGACATCACCAAATCACTCCCAGAGGTAAAATGGTCCAAAATCTTGGGGTTTGTGAACAAGTCCAAGAGGTTTATGCAGGACACGTGAGCCGACCAAGTCCCGGACCTTTTAGGGATGGGGTACGAGTCTACCCAGGCATTTAACCCNAGTAATCCTGTAAACGTAAACAGAATATTTTATATAGATTTTTTTTAATGAAAACTTAAAATCCTGCATTATTTTCCGGACAACCCGATAAATTTTGAGATTTCCTCTTCAGGCATGGAGGTGGTGAACCTGTAGTTTAGTCGTTTCTGATCATCGTGGTCCGCCTATCCTCGCTGCTTTGTTCGGTCAGACAGAATCGTGTCTGAATCAAATTCGTCATTGCGCTATCTTCACAAGTTCGTCGTTGGGTATATCCTTTTTTTCAGACTAAAACCACAAACTTCGACTTGTAATCTCATAGCTTGAAATACAGTTGCTACTTCAAGTAAAAATGAGAAAGCTTAGAATGGAAAGTCTTGCTAATTTTAGTGGAGTTATAAACAATGAGATTTCCTCTTGAGGTATGGGGTTGTGAACTGTAGTTCGGTCTTTTCTGATCATTTTCGTCCACCTAGCTTTGCTGCTTCGATGGACTCATCTCTCAATGAAATTCAACATTTCGCAAGGATGATTGGTCGGTGAATTTCCCCGCGTGTAAGTCTTTTTTTTAGTTAAAGCCACAAAATGTATTACGAAATTGTTTCGAAAGTTTGTACAAGCAATCGTTGTAACAATTGATAGAATTTAAAAAAACATTTCTGTCTTTAATTTTGAATTTCTGACAAAACGTTTTTGGTTTAATTACTTTGGCGAATTTTACAATGTTAAAAAGGATCAATGTCAGGTTCTGTTTTGGGTTTGTAGAAGAATTTTTTACAAAATGTTTCAAATATGATCGATTTCGATCATCCTGGTCCACCTATCCTCGCTATTTTGATCGGCCAGACCAGTTCAGAAAATTCGCCAGCATTAGTGGTTGGTCGGTGCGTTTTCTCGTACCCTCATCTAATACGTACTTCGTAAAAACTCAAAATAAAGCAATTTACGAGGGAGCAAATGAGTAGATATTCAAATAAATAATTTGTTACAGTGTGGTGTAGGAAAATAGATCAAAACAATTCTTTACCAAGAAAGGAAGTTGACATTCGTTTTTCGTATCCCAAAACACATGAATTCAAATCTTGAGACAATAAAAAAAAATTTCTCAAATAACATACATTTTTTCATACATTTAGTAATAACGACTAAATATTGTAGTTAAACGACTCCACCGATCCACAGGAAGCTGTACAAGAGTTTAGAACCCTATAAAATACAATTTATGACACAAAACTGGCCTCCATCACTGAATCAAAACCTGGAATATAAAAAATAGCATGTTGGGAGTTTTTGATGAATTAATGATTGATGAGTAAAACCGTGAATATTGGATAAACTACAAAGGTGTTTCAAAGTTGGAGTGGAACATTGTACTTGGCAAGAAAAAAATTGGCTCCGGCGAATCCAGTCAAAAAATGTATATTTTATTATTAAAATGACAATTCGTATTTAAGGGATTTAAAGGGCACTTAAAACGAAGTCAGACTGTTTTTGTCAGAAACAAAAGAAGATCTACTTTTCTGAAAGAGACTTTTTCAAGTAGCGTTTTGTAAGTTTCTAGATATCTCATTCATTCATCTATCTATTTCCATATGTCAATCTGTAACCTTGTTTACATTACGTAATGAGCTGGATTTATATATTACATAGATCCTGTCTCGAGAGGGGAGTTAACTAAACGGTTGTTCTCCCAACTATACGCAAGGAAAAAGGGTTATTTCTGTTGAATAAGGAATGGGCAACTCGATTGAGGTGAGAGAAGAATGTGGTAGAAAGTGGAAAATGTTTTGGCGATAATTTTGTGCAAGAGAGGTTTTGAGGTCATTCTGAAGGGTGATATTGGAGACGAAGTAAGGAACATTGACTTTCGTTCTGAGGACTTTGAACTTGGAAGGTTTAGCGGTGTCTAGTCTGTGCATAGATTGGTTTTAGTATTGTCAGTTTGCTTTTTATTGAAACTTGAGACGCCAATAGTCTGTAGAATAGTCCGAAATGTTTGTTTAATTCCTATCGTTTTAGTCGTGTGTGTTTGTTCCAGATTAGTCTTAAGTGCAGATCTAACCCAAGGTAGCGGACCCAGTCTGTTTTGGAGGTAGGAGTATTATTGAGAAATATTGTATGAGGGGGTTTTGCTTCGAAAGGTGAATACATGGTTGCTGTTGATTTCATTAAGCTTTATACGCCAGTCTTTGCTTTATTGGATTCTTCGGAGAAATACGCCTAAAAATCCTCCGAGGCAATTGTGGGGACGGGATCAAGGACAGCACAGCTTTGACGGCAAAGGACGCAAGGATGAGGAAGGTGAAGTTGGGATATCTGCGGTATAGATAAGTAAAGGATCGGTTCTAGAACACTCCCCCTCCCAGAGGAGTAGCATTCTTGGCGGAATCGTGCGGTTAGGTAGAAATGAAGGATTAGGTAGTGGATTTTTAGAAAGAATGCATATAACATATAATATGAAACCGGCAGCATCCAGTCTAAACATAATTGTTGTCAGAACTTTACGTTCTAGGTGTTTAAATAAATGTTTTTGAGATCTGCAGGTAAATACAATGGTTAGGTCCATTCTGATAACCTTGATTTTGACGTGGTTTGGTTCATTCTGATAATTTTGAACTCCAAAAGACGTAAATCATTGCAAACATTCAAAACGAATAAATATTATTCTCAATAAAATCCATTTCAGTATATTCCCACTTGTTTGACGTACAAAAACAATTCCGCTTTATAGTACGAAACCGCGCGCGCACACACAATCACTTACGTTCTTCGAAGAATCGTTCAACAGGCGTGCAATCATTGCGGTTCGGATCAGCGCTAAATAACTTTCAGAAATGTTATTTCGTAGTGTCAGGTTAACGTCCTTAAAAAATCGTCTCGTGCTTGCTAGCAATTAACGCATGACCTGAATAAACGTCCTGCCGGCTTTGGAGAGAATTTTTGCATTCGCTACTTATCGATTGTGAACACTTGAACGATCATTAAAGATATTTAACTATGTTTACACGTAATTATATAGAAAGGGGTATACCCTAGAAATACGCTTAACAATTTAATGTAGTCTTTTTAATTATTTCCCCTTATAATCAATTGTTAATTTTGATTAATTTTGGTACTACGTCAATGCTAAGGAGCATAGGAGGAAAAAAAATTCAATAATAAAATTTAGTAGAAGTGTAACTTAAAATACGTAAAGAAGACTCAAAAGCACCGCCAGAAATAAAAGGTTCGTGAGGGAGTAACAAATTAACTATGAGTCACTTCATAAAATATTCCAACTAATTGGTGTTATTAGAAATCTTGTTACTTTTTTTCATTTCTGAATATGATATCCAGAAGAACTTTGTTGGCTTAAATTATTCCCAGCTAACAAAGGCTTAAAAAAAATCTGTATCTGTGATACATATATATATTCTAAGATTACAGACAGACATTATTAATTGGTTTAGCCTGGAACCCGAGAAGGAGCTAACCGAATTCCTCAAGCCAAATCGTATCACTTTCCATCACGAGTGACATTCTTTTGACGTAACACACGTCAAAAGAATTTTGTCGACCTCTTTTATCGAATTCAGAACGGCTAAATTATATATAGGATTATCTTGAAAGTTTCCTGGAGAAGGGTGTAAAGTGAGAGGTTGCTTTTGCCCCCTGGGGATGCTTCTTTTTTATTCGACGACCCATTTGAAGACCACAGGGGAACAACGAGTTAACTGACTTTTTTTAAATGTTATAGGAGAGCATTTTTTCTTAAAAAAACGTAATACCTTCATCCACATTTGACGTAAAAATATTTAAAAAATTTGAAAAAATACTAAAGCTATTCTGGCATTTATATCTACCTTCAAAACATCAAAATTTATTTTCCATCTTAGATTAAATAAACTTCAACCTCTCAAAGTTCCATTTGTGCAGGGGAAAAACGAGTTACCTCCATGCATTGCTGGTTTCACTCTAACTATTTTTCAATCATCTAAACATGTTGTATGTACCAGTATTAGCACAAACATAAATTTGCGAAATGAGGTTAGAAAAAAAAAGTTCATTGATTTTTGAAGGATTTCAATAAAATTCAAGATTATATTTTTCGAAAAAATTCAAGCTAAAATAGCATAAAAAAAGAAAAGAATGTTAATAAAAACTTGGTATAAAAGTAGGAATTCAAACTCAGGTAATCAAAGATAGGTAATC